GAAAAGAACAGCCCTAGGAACAGGAGATTGTCTTCAATGTGTCCTTCTCCTCTTGTCTTTTCTACAAAAACTCACTGAGATGTTTACTGGATCAGAGGACAGGATCTTCTCCCACTAGTTTGCTTTTTTCTTTTTAATCTCTCTCTCTTCCTCCCTTTCTTTCTTCCTTCTTTACTTCTATCCTTCCTTCCTCTTTCTCTCACTCTTTCTCTCCCTTCTCTTCCCTCTCTTCCTTCCTCCCGCTCTCCGCCGCCCCCCCCCCCCTTCCTTTTTCTTGTACTGGACTTGGGGCTTGAACTCAGGGCCTGAATAATATCCCTGAACTTTTTGCTGCTTGAACCTCAACTCCACTTCCTTTTTGGTGGTTAACTGTAGATAAGAGTCTCACAGACTTTCCTGCCAGGGCTGGCTTTGAATAACATTGCAGATCCTCAGATCTCAGCTACCTGAGTAGATAGGGTTATAGGTGAGCCACAAGCACTTGACTGGTATGTTTTTCTTATTACCTGAGGGATTTAGCTCAGCTTGAGGCTTCATTTCCACTTCACTTAAAGTGACTTTGAACAGAGACCCTCCTGGGAGGTGAATGTACTCCTTGGGAGTATATGGGGAGTATAGTGAAGAACTGGAAGTGTTTGGCTTGAAGGAGAATAGAGTGGCACTGAAGACAGAAAACATGAGAGCAAGCATGTGTTAAAGTAAGGTCTTGCAGGTTTTTTGGTGTGAATTTCTCCCTTTGGTTCCAGAACTTCTATAGAAAAGTGAAAAAGGAAAAGGACAACAATGATTATTTATTGTTACTTTTTTTGTACCTGTGTCTTTTAAGGAATTTTATGCATTATGTATCATTTTATACTGAAAATCATTTGCACATTCTTTTAATACAGCTATATTCTATGAATCCTCATAGAATATGTTCACTTGTAGAGTCACATTACAACTAGAAAATTTGTAGTTGTCACTGAGGTTCTTCAAACAGTACCACTTACTGAGATGGCTGGAATCCTCCTTGTGACAGACTTAAGATCACAGGAAGGAAAGGGGATGGGTTATTGTCAGCTGGGACATCTGTCCAGATCATTTGTAAGCCAAGTGCTGCATGGCCCCATGGCTAGGTGGTATGTGAGAAAAGAGAGTGTAAGAAAGGATGTTTAATTGGAGGAACTCTGGATGGGAGTTGGGAGACCAGGATCATATTTTCCCTATGGTGACACAGATGATATAGCAATTATTTACAAACGGATGCATATTTCTGAATAAAGGTGTGGGATGGGCTGCCTGAGTCCTTTCCTCTTCAACACTTTTAGGCAGTTTAGGTTTTGAATGTTCTGGGACATGATGGTACCTGAGAGACAAACAGCTGACCTACCTGGGCCTGTAGGCACTAGATGGAAGAAAGCCATGGTGAGCTAGAAACTAAGGCCTGTTGGTTAAAACACTCTGCTGTTTCTTGGAAGTAGACTCCGGAATACTGCATGCCTAATGCTTTTGTGGAGAGGATGTTTAGGGAGATGATAGCAGGATGTAGTGTGTGTATGTGTGTGTGTGTGTGTGTGTGTGTGTGTGTGTGTGTGTGCACGCTTGGTGAGAGCCCAGCTTCTTGAAGTTACTGATATCCAAAGAAAAGGAGTGTGTTCTGAAGAGGCTAGAGTTCTATATGTATTATTGTAAGAAAAAACAAGGGAGAAACACTTGGTCTCATAAAACAGAGAAAAGATATGCTAATTAAATTTAGGTTATATCTATTTAATAGTTGGACATTCATATATTTTTAGACAGTATTATATGTAAGAGTATGTGAAGGATTGACCCCCTCCCTATTGTCCCAGGCCCATACAGACTCCAGGCAAAATCCCAGGTATGTGTGAACTTGTTTTAAGTACAGGCAGGGCAATCCACCTAAGCCCAGCTGTAAACATCCCATTGTGGACCCAACTGAAAGACCCCCACCTTCTTTGACTTAGGGGCTTTTGCATTAACCTCTACCTCCTTGCTCAGACCTCCAATAAAATCCCAGATCCCGTCCCAGCTCTGGGAAGGTCTGTGCCCCTTGCTGTTCCTCAATAAACAGTCTTTGCCTGTTGATGAGCGAGCCCAGCCTATTTCTTTTCTGTTCTCCATTTTCCTAAAAGTATGGTTTCTTACTTTCTTTTTTTCCCTTTGGTTGTGGGTCTTGAACTCTGGGTCTGGGTGCCGTCCCTGAGTTCTTCAGCTTAAGGCAAGTACTCTACCACTTGAGCCACAGAGCCACTTCCAGTTTTCTGATGGTTAATTAGAGATGAGTCTCATGGAGTTTCCTGCCAGGGGTAGCTTTGAACTATGATCCCCAGATCTCAGCCTCCTGTGTGGTTAGGATTACAGGTGAGAGCCACTGGCGCCCAGCTAGGAGTGTGGTTTCTTAAACAGTACTTTTAAATTAGACACCACAGTGGTAAATCAAAATAAACTTAAAAATTGCCAGTCCTGGGTCTTCTACTCAGAGCCTAGTCACTGTCCCTGAGCTTTTGTGCTCAAGGCTAGGTCCTTTCCTCATTGAGCCATAGATCCATTTCCAGATTTTTGGTGGTTAACTGGACATAAGAGTCTAATGGATTTTCCTACCCAGGCTGCCTTTGAACTGCAATCCTCAGATCTCATCCTTCTGAGTAGCTAGGATTACAGGCATGAACCACCAGCACCCAGCAAAATCATCTAAGGTTTTATTAAGAAAGAAGCTGGTTTGAATATGGACTTCCTTTTCTATGCAGTCTCCTTGCCATCAAACTCCTTCCATATCTTCTAATTCTGTATCCCACACTCATTTTGGGACAGTTATGTAATTATAAGATAGATTTTCATTTTTTCTTGACCATATATGCTTGGGGACTTTCCTGGGCTATTGTTAGTATGTCAGTTCCAGTAAAGAACTAGTTTTTTCTTACCTTCCACTACAGTGAGCTGCTGTCATTACAATGTTGTCTTGTACCAGAAAACCACATCATGAAGTATATAATTTGAGACCATAATATAAATGTATGTTGGCATGTTGAGTTACTATGTATTGGCTAAAATAAAAATTTTGAAGTTTTGTAGTCTTTTTAAAAAACGACGGTAGATTATAATGACACACCACTGGATATTGGTGACTGATGCCTGTAATCCTAGCTACTCAGGAGGCTGAGATCTGAGGATCAGGATTCAAAGCCAGCTTGGGCAGGAAAATCTGTCAGACTCTTATCTCCAGTGAACCACCAAAAAGCCAGAAGTAGCACTGTAACTCAAGTGGTAGAATGCTAGCCTTGAGCACAAAAGCATGGAATAGTGTCCAAGCCTTGAGTTCAACCTACCTTCCTTCTCCCTCCACAGAGTTATATAGATAAAGCAGTTGGCTATCTTCAAGTGCATCCTGTCACATGGAATGGTGAGCATTTTCACAATTTCCACAGCTGATTTCTTGTGTCTTTGAGTGTGATAGCACATATTTGTGGTTTATGAGTGTCCTTTGTATTATTGGGACATTTTCTTGGGTTAGATTGTCATGCTACACATGGCTCATGCCCCAACTCTCCCAGGGTTTCTGAGGATAAGTAAAAATTGGCAGGAAGGTGGCCCTGTGTGCTCCCCTGTGCTCCTCTCTGGCCTCTGTTTCAGGGACCACACAGAGCTAATTAGAACTCTTCTGCTGATAACAGTTATCACTGGGTAACTCCTGCTCTGAGCTTAGCTATTGCGCAAGGAGGGACTTTTGGCTTGTGATGTTTTCTCTGAAAAAAAAAAAAAATGTGTGATTGCCTCAGTACTTTGAAGACAGAAAGAAGAAAGTGAGAAAGTAGAACTGCTTTTAGGCACATCTCATAACTGTCCTGTGCTTGGAAGGACATTCACAAGGTGAGAATAGAGTTGGAGAGAGCTGGACAGTGGCCACTGTTGAGATGTGGCAGCAGACTGGAAAGTTAGAGTGCTGTAGAGGAAAAAGAAGCCTGAGTTATGCCTTCAATATGTAGAGGAGCTACTGCCCACAGAATCCAGATAGCAACTTCTTCCATTAGATCTTTAAGTAAGGTGGAGTCACAGACATAATCAGACAGGGGCCCTCTGCTACTTGAACTACAGCTCCACTTCCTGGTTTGTGGTAGTTAATTTTGGAGATTGAAAAGCACACAGCCTTTCCTGCCCAGGCTGGCTTCAAATCGTGGTTCTCAGATCTCAACCACTGAAAAGCACACAGCCTTTCCTGCCCAGGCTGGCTTCAAATCGTGATTCTCAGATCTCAACCACCTGAGTAGGTAGGCATGAGTCACTGGAACTGGGCATTGCTGTATTTCATATAGGTAGAGAAAGTCTTATTATGGTGGGAGGTAAATCCTTTTGGCTCTCCTCAAGTTGCTGGGGAAAGTGAGATAAAGAGACAGGGGAATGTATGGCTTAGAGGAGGGAAGAAACTTACCTTGTTTCCTAGACTATGGCTGTTGAGGTGCTCATTTGTCTTGGCAAAGAAATCCCTTTTTCCTGGGGGAGCTCAACTCACTCCTACCACGGTTGGAGTATAATTGCTATAGACTGTATTTCTCCAAAATGTGTCTGTTGAAACTCAATCCTGATAAAATGGCATTTGGAGAGGGGCTCTTAGAGGTGACTAGATCGGAGAGCCCTGGTGAGTAGAATGAATATCCTTATAAAAGAAACCCTAGAGAATTCCCTTGACCTTTCTGTCATGTGAGGATATAGCAAGAGGGTGGCCATCTGTGAACCAGGAAGCAGGACCTTAGCAAATATGGAATCTACCAGTGCCTTGTCATTGGGCTTTCCCAACTCTAGAGCTTGGAGGAGGAAATACCTGCTGTTTATAAGCCATCTAGAATGTGGTATTTTGTGATAGTAGTTCCAACAGTCTAAGACAGTATCAAATGATGTTTAATGAACAAATATTTACACTCTAGGTGGGATATTTATGAAGGCTCTGCCAACCTCTTGGAGCTGATGTGACCCCCAGAGAAAGTCAGTCACAGGGCAGGTGGGGGTAGGGGTTTGGGGGGTAAGATCTTACTCTAATCCTGTGGTTTGAAGCGTCTCATTATTCTCTTTACCCAGGGCAGGAAGCTTGAAATCTTGGTGAAGACTGCTGGAGGAGTCCCATTCTGTTTTCCATAGGAGACAATGCCCTGGGCCACATTGTTACATACCAGGGGCCCACCGGAGTCCCCCTGTGGGCAGAGAGGAGAAAAGACACCCAGCTAGGCCTCCCTGCTCCTGTTACCCTAACCCCTGGCTCTCAGAGAAGATAAGGGAGGGTGCCTCTGATGGTGGCCTATGAGAGAGATGGTAGTAGGTGGAGGGTGGATGGTGGAGTCTAGCCTCTGGATCTTTCAGCCCTTGGCTTCAGCTGGCTGAGATTACTGTCTACAGCCCAATCAAGGTATCTTCCCCTGACTTGGGAAAATACGGCATACATATGGGAGAAAGACCTGAAATCAATCAATTATTCTCTCTCTCTCTCTCTCTCTTTCTCCCTTTCCTCCAGAGATTGGGGTTGGTGGAAGAAACAAACCAACCCTGTTCTACTCTGGTCCTGAAGCTGAGGCTGTGGAGATAGGCTCTGTTTTTACTGTCCAGCCCTCTTTGTCCCAGGAAAAATAGTGGCAAGATGTCCAAGCCCTTACCCTGAAGGCAGACTTCCTCTCCCTTGGGTTTCCCACACAAAGCTGAGTCTGGCTGGTGTAGGTACTGAAACGACTGCTGCACTTCTGGTCTCTCTGCACTCTTAGCATCACCTCCTGGAGTACATTTGTTCTCTGGTTTAGGCCGACTTGGCCCCAGCCAGCCACTGTGCACAAGGTCCCAGGCCTCACACTCATCTCAGCCTGAGGCAGAGCCACTGGTCTCACGGCTCTATTCTGCTGGACTCTGTTTCTCAGCTGTTAGGAAGAGTGTAGACAATGCTCATCAGCTGGGTCTCTCCCAACCAGTCTGTGAGTACAGTACCCACCCCAATACATCATCACCCCCCTAGAGCCCTGCCCTTGCTTCCCCCTCCATAGTCTCAGCACACAGCAAATCTAGACAGTACATTAAGAGTAGAGAACCAAAGAGTCAGGCAGACAGTACCTGTAGTAACATGATGTCATTCATGATGTTCTGCTGATTATAATCAGGGTGTCGGATGGCTCTGAGCACAGTGATGTGTTGCTGGGTCCTTTCCTGCCTCTGGATATTGTGGGCCCCCAGAGTGACATTTATTGAACTACAAAGGCAAATTTGGCACAGAGATAGGTGTGAATAGCAAGGAGCTCTACAGCCTGACATCAGGCCTGACTGCAGCTGGAGAGACTGGAGACAGTGGCAGGGCCTTGGGGCCGAATTCTACCCTTTGTTTCTCAGTAGCCCCAAGCTGAGGATGTCAAGGAACAATGATTTTAAGGTTGTTTGTTTCAGATTAAGTTGATAGTTTAAGCCTCAATACATGCCTTCCCATTAATCCAAATGATCACAAACAAGACCACACTAAAGCTACCAGCACAACTATGTTTATTGCAGCATTATTTACCATAGCTAAGATATGGAACCAACCCAGATGCCCCTCAGTAGATGAATGGATCAAGAAAATGTGGTATATATAGAATATATATATATATATATATATATACATATATATATATATATATATATATATATATATATATATATATATAATTCTATGCCTCCATCAGAAAGAATGACATTGCCCCATTTATTAGGAAATGGAAAGACTTGGAAAAATTATATTAAGTGAAGGTAGCCAGGCCCAAAGAAACATAGATCCCATGGTTTCCCCTTAGTTGCAATAACTAGTATATGTCTGGGACAAGCAGAAAAGATCAGATAAGATGATGTTAAGCGAAATGAACCCCAAGATAGGGATACAAGTTGCTATTGTTTCTAACGTATTTATAAGGTACCATGTGAATGTTTTGTTGCTTTGTATATCCCTCCCCCACAGTATAACCCCTGTGTTCACTGTATTTGATGTTGGTATAAATTGGGGAGGGGAAATTGTTTAAATAGGGATAAACAAATTGTTTAAATCGGGATACAGATTGACCCATTGCAATAATGAGATGTACAAGACACTATGTTGAAGAATGAACTTTACAATTTAGGCGGGGGGTGAAGGGTGGGAGGTGCGGGTAGGGGGTGTAGCTGAGGAGGTGGGAGGGATGGGATCATAGGGGAAAAACAAAGGAGGAGGCAACAATGCTGGATAAGAAATGTACTCATTACCTTGCTCATGTAACTGTAACCCTTTTGTACAGTATTTTCACAATAAAAAACTTAATTAAAAAATCAAGGTTTATTAAAAAATATGTGCCTTCCATCTCCTTCTTCTGTTCTTTATGATCATGTCTTTTCTTCTTTCTTTCTTTCTCTATTTACTCTGGCCTGTTACCTCCCTGCTTCCAGTCCTACCTGGTCCCTTTTTCATCCTTCCATTGCTACAACATTGGCTTGAGATGCTTCTCTGAGATCTTTTGGCTACTAGTTTCCTAAGAAGCCTCCGGATTCCTCACCTTCCCCAGCAATGAGCTGCTGTCATCACAAAGTCTTCTCGTACCAAGAATCCCCCACAAACACTTCGACTTCCTGGATTCTGGATAAGAAGAAGTGCCATGTAGGGATGGGAGTGGGGCCTGGCCTCTTGGCCTCCAATGATCTTCCCTGAAATGAAATGTTTGACATATATATCTGCATTTAAGATCCTGCAGTGTAGTACTAGGTTGGGGCTTTAGAGAGGTTAGAAGTTGAGGGCAGGAGAGGAGAGGCAGGAGGGGAAAGAGCTATTGGCAAGGATTGATAGGGTTCTACAGGATACCCAGAACTAGCAGAGTGTTCTGAGGCTCTGCAGGAATCACTGCTGACTTGAAGGGAGATCAAGTTCTTAGCATGCTCCCTCTTCCATAAAGGGGAAAAGAAAGCTTGCTTAGATAAGACCAACTTTAACCTCAGGTATTGAGGAAAGATGTTCTGCTGCCAGAATGAACTGTTCTTGGAGTTCCTGTGGTTTTTTTTCCCTCCAGGAGCTTCTAGTGCCTAGAAGAATCTAGGCATGAGCTGACAGGACTGCTATTGCGGTAGCATTAGTTTATTTGATCCTTAGTTTATCCTGAGTTTTGATACATGGGCTACAGAATGAATTCTTAGAGCCCATATATTGAGAGTTCTTTAGTAGGTTCTGGGGCCAATTCCAAAACTTTTATGTACACTAATGAATTTAGTTCTCATAAAATCTGAGGTTGGTATTTGTAACATTGTCATTTCATACAGTAGGAAACAGAAGAAATGTGAGTTCAAATAGCATGCTTGAAGGTATAGAATTAGGATATGCCAAATGAGAAGCTGTAGTGATATGGGATGGGTTCAGACTTTCGAGGTGGAGGTTTGTCACTTACCTGCTTCAGCGCCAGGAGGTAGGATAAAGGCCAACAGAAGCAGGAGAGGCAGCATCCTCCTTGAAATGTTGTCCAGTCTGTTGCTGCTTATGCCTGCTCCTGCCAGATTTTATCCCCTCACAGAGGAAGGAAGAGGTAGGAAGAGAGTTGAAGAATCCACAGTCCCATTTTCCTGCTCTTGTGATAAGTTTCATCATCCAAGACTGTGCAGGAGGTTTGCCCACTAACTGCCAGAGATGTGAAAGAAGGAAGAGTCAACGTTGCCATCTCCTTCCTCCCCCACCAGCTGCCCAGTCAGTACTCAGCAGAAATGAGAACCCAAGGTAGCAGCAGGGGTCTTTTGAGGGTTTGAACTCATCCTGCCCAGGTTCCTATTGATCTCACTTTTTCTTTTTTGAAATTGTTAGGATGGATTGAGTGGTACCCACCTGGATAGGTGGAGGCTGTGCTGGAGAAAGAAAAGGAGAGAACGAGACTCTGACATTAATATTTTCTCAGGTTACTGGAGCCAGTCTGTGAAAATTGTGACCAGCTGAAGATTTCCGCTTGCTGGTTCCTGCACCAGGTGAAAGTCTCTCTGTGCCTGAAGGTTCCTTACAAACAGATAAAATTTGTGGTTTTGTTGAGAGTTCTATTTCACTGATAGCACAGGAAACAATCAACCTAGTTCTCGTCTGTTTCCAAGGACAATGGCTTCAAAACGTGGGGGCATTGAGCATTGGGAGACATCACTAAGCAGCTCACCAAATACACTTAAAAATGTTTAGTAGATTTTTTATGTGCTCTGAAGACCATCATCATTCTGTATTATTTCTATATAAAAGTAAGATGAACACAATTTCTATCTTTTATCCGGATGATAGGCCCATTTGGAAATATCATGAAAGCTAAGGATTCTCTCTTCACCTATCAATAGAGTTTTCACTTAGTTTTAGAGCTACTCTCGTTCCCTCTCTCTGTTTTTCTCTCTCTCTTTTTCTGGTCCTGGAGCTTGAACTTTGGGCTGGGGTGCTGTTCCTGAGCTTTTTTATTCAAGGCTAGTGCTCTACCACTTGAGCCACAGCTATACTTCTGGCCTTTTGGTGGTTAATTGGAGATAAGAGTCTCACAGGTTTTCTTTCCTGGGCTGGTTTTGAACTGTGATCCACAGATGTCAGCCTCCTAAGTAGCTAGTATGAGCTAAAATTTCTCTTTATATCTAAAAAGTAATGTGAAGATAAAGAGCAAGTAGTGTAATTATGTTTTAATGTTTGAGAATTTGTGATGATTTTAATTTAATGATTTTTCCCAACATTTTGTTTTTAAAACATTAGTTTAGTTGGGTGCACTCCAATAAGCCAGTAGCTCATGCTTGTAATCCTAGCTGCTCAGGAGGCTGAGATCTGAGGATCACAGTTCAAAGTTAGGTCAGGCAGAAAAGTCTGTGAGATTTGTCAGTTAACTAGCAGAAAGCCAGAAGTAGAGCTGTGGCTCATGTGGTCAAGTGCCAGCCTTGAGTCAAGATACCAAGTGAAAGTACAAGGCCCTGAGCTCAAGCTCCAGTATTGACACATGTGTGCATGCACACACCCAGACACACACACTTATCATTATGCTTTGTAGAGATTTTAGATACCATATATAAAAGTATTTATCTTAAGGAGAAGTATTAACAAATTTGATATATTAACATTGAAGGAAACAAAGACAGTTCATAGAGGGGGCAAAAACACTTGCAATACACCTAACTGATAAAGGTTATTTGTACTGTTCAAATTATATAAAAAGTTTCCAAAATGAATCTGAAAAAGATAACCAATTAAATAAGATAATGGACAAAAGACCTTAATGGCCTTATTTCAAAACTGAAAATGTAAGTGATCTATAAACTATTGAAAGGGGATGACTGTCATCTGGTACTTGGGAAGCTCCACCCTGTCTTGAGAATATAAACCCCAGAGAAAGGTGTGCACATTTCCTATTCTTTCCAGATGTGTGCAGAAAAGTCACAGCAGCATTACTCATAGCATTATTATCAGGATAACACCACCCTGGAACATCTGGAAGGCCCATCCACTCTAACACGCATAATTAAATGGTGGTGTATTCATATGATGGAACATTGCATAGCTATGAAAATGAATGTGTCATACAGTTACATGAATGAATCTTACAAACATATGTTGGAAGAACCAAAGAAAACTCTATTTTGTATAATTATATGAAGTTCAAGAAATGACATCAGATAGAAATGCATACATACATAGGAAGTATATAAGTAAAAAGTATATAATAAAAAGCAAGAAAGAATACTATAAGTTATAATAGTGGTTAATACTAGGACTAGAGGACAAAATGAGTATTTGACCAAGAGGGGGCACATGGGTAATTTTTGGAGTATTGGTTACACTCTATAAAATGTACTTGCTTTATAATTATTCTTTAAACTGTACATTTGCATTTTTGGACTGTTCATGTATGTATATTTTTGGAAGACATTAAAAAAAGCATTTTGCTGCACAATTGAGGTGGAGTTCTAAGCAAACATGTGTGGAGAAATAGACTGCAAACTTTTAACAATGTTGTATTTCTCTATTTTCATAAAAAATGGTCATATTTGAATAAGACTGTGATATATTTCACAATACCATATAGCACTGGTTGTATCTATTTTTGACTGCTTGATTACATTTCCGTCAGTTATACAGTTTTTTTCTCCCCTGGGATTGTTGGGACATTAGGATGGGGTGTTTCCTGCCTCCTTAGGGGTCTCTAACAATACAAATCCTCAGGGTAGGCAGGGTCACAGAAGATGGATCAGATCTCTTCCTGGCTTTGTAGGAGATGAAGGTTCTACTGAGCGCTCCAGATCCTAACAGCTGCCTTCATGTCACTCCTCCAAGGACATTTTGGAAGCACCTTGGGAAGTCTTTACTGCTGAGCTGCTTTGGTTAATTTGGTTAATTTCAATGCTGGGAGAAAGCTGGCCTTGGACCATTGTGCTCCCACTCCAACTATCTTCAGGAAGCCAGATACTTTCTTACTAGAAACTGGCTTGTGTTGTCATTTGTGTGTGTGTGTGTGTGTGTGTGTGTGTGTGTGTGTGTACGCGTGTGCGCATGTGTGCACATGTACCAGTACTGGGGGCTGTACCAGTACTGTACCAGTACAATCCCTTAGCTTTTTTATTCAAGGCTGATATTTTACTGCTGGAGCTTGGGGCCTAGACACTATCCCTTAACTTTTTTACTCCAGGCTGATACTTTACCACTGGAGCTTCAGCTCCATGTCTGGCTCTTTGGAAATTAATTGGAGACCAAAGTCTCGTAGACTTTCCTACCTGAGCTGGCTTTGAACTGTGATCTTCAGATTTCATCTTCCTGAGTAGTTAAGATTACAGAGGTGAGTTGCTTGCTCTTGCTACTGTGTTGTCATCTTTGTAGGAAAGAGCAGGTGACCAAGGAAAGACAGCCCTTGAGATGGGCCTGAAGTATATGATCCACAGTAGACTTATTGGGGTCTGCATTAAATCTTCTTGTCATAGTAAATATGGGGAAAATAGTCTAGAAGCCCTAGATATGACAGAAACTGATTAAAAAGACATTGAAGGCCTTAGCAATCCTTGCAAAAAAACTTAGTTCCAAGTGCAGGCTGTTGACCCTGGGATGCTGGGTCAACATGAGAAGGAGATGATGTGAACACACTCCCTAATAACTCTTGCAAAATGCTCAGACAACCCAAACACTCAGCAACAGAAGAACAGCATTGTGTCCATTTAAGAACATTATGTTTTAGAATACTATTGATGGTATGGAGAAATTCGCATCCTCTAATATTAAGAAGAGAAATGATAACCTAAACTCCTTACCATATAAATTTGTAGAATGTAAAAATGTGTACAATTTGATACCAATTCTGTGGGGACCAAAATGTAACAAGAAGAACAATTTTTTTCTTTGCTAGTACTGGGGCTTGAATTCAGGACCTGAGTGTTCTCTCTGAGCTTTTTTGCTTTAGGCTAGCATTCTACCATTCTTTCTTGCCCTGTCTGGCTTTGATTGGTGATCCTCAGATCTTGGACTCCTGAGTAGCTAGGATTTTAGGTGTGAGCTTATCTTTTTTTTTTTTTTTTTGTCGGTGGGACTTGAACTCTGGGCCTGGGTGCTGTCCTTCAGCTCTTCAGCTCAAGGCTAGCACTCTACCACTTGAACTGCAATGCTACTTCTTGTTTTCTGAGTGATTTATTGGAGATAAGAGTCTCACGGACTTTTCCTGCGTGGGCTGGCTTTGAACCTTGATCCTTAGATCTCAGCCTCCTGAGTAGCTATGATTACAGGTGTGAGTCACTGCACCTGGATCGGTAGGAGCCTATCTTGAGTGCCAGCTTAAGAAGAACAATTTTATGTGACTCTTGTCTTTACCTTTAATGGAAATGTGTTAGTATTATGAGAAGAAAAAGAAAAGTAAGGCTCATCATTCTGATAGGTAGCCAACACTATTAAACAGTGTGCTAGAGACAAGCTAGTGGCTTAGCAAAAACAATTTCCTTTTCTTTCTTGCAAGGACCATGGGTGAGCTGCTTTGTCCAGCTTCACCTGAGATTGGGTATGGCTTTGTGACTTAGAGAAAATAGGATTTGAATGTGAATATTATGAACACCTGTTAGACTTGGACCATCATATTCTCTCATGCCTGCGTTCTTCCATGCTTTGTTGCATGGAGCTCAGAAGTATCTTTGAGGGACTCAACCTAGACTGACTAGACCATAGTAAAATTCACAGCCAAACTGGCGCAATACTGCTCTTCAGGAATGCTCATCTGCCTTGTATAAGGCCAGAAAGAAACTATCAAGTCAATCACTTCAACTTTAAAGTGAAAGTCATTAGTGTTATCTCAACATGTACTGACTTATTTAAGGCTTCTTATTCCTGACCCAAAATATTTTTTTAAAAAGCGATTTTAGTCATTTTGAAATTAAAAATACTGATAATTTAAAAATCCACAGAAGAAACATGTTAGCTACCATCTAGGAACTAAGGCTTCAATATATGAGCCTTTTGGGGAGACTCTTAATATTGAGGCAGAAACTCTTGGGATTAAATCCTAGACATAAAAAT